AGTTACTACATGTTTTGACGGCGTCTTATTGGTTGGCATGGCCGGTCAAAAGGATAACAAGAACTAAGGAGCGTCGGCCGATCAACACGAGTCCATCAGCGGATCAACCGTACCGGCCGTCGATATTAGAGATACAAGCTGTCTAAAATAAGAAGCCGCCGATAACTAATTTCGTCCAGAATTGAAAGCTGGCCGAAAGTCACAATGCCACGGAGCAGAAAAAGCCCCAGAAAGAGCGGCAAATCCATGCAACATATTTGTTCTGGTGTCAAAGGTGTTGTAAAGAGTTTACAGCACGATCGTAGCTATGGATTCATCAGAGAGAAAGACTCTGGCAGGGAAGTTTTTTTCCACATCTCCGGGTTAGTACTCGACGTGTGCCACAGGCGCTGCCGGGAGGCGTGGACGTGCCAGGACGCGCGCCCGATTCGCGTGGGTGATGAAGTGAAATATGAGTTGTATCTAGCACCGAAGGGCTACAGGGCTGAATCAGTTCGTGTTTTGAATGTGGAACCTGTGCTGGGAGATTTCAACCCTGATCAGTTTCATGATGATTTTGTGTATGATTATTATGACTGGTCTCGAGGAAGCACAGGGCCAGGACCCACAAGCAACCACCGAGTTTCAGGAGGTGGTCCCCGACGTGGTCGAGGCCAAAGACAAAATGGACAAGGATCAGGAGATTTGGAAGGTATAATTATAAAAACACTGCATTTAACAAACAAATGTTTAGAGTCTACATTTTAAATTCATATTTAAAAACACTTGTAAAACTGTGGTTTCTTTATTTCACATGATTGATATGGACATGTACGTGTCTTTTTATAAACATTATTTTCATACCTCCATGTATAATATAGTATAGACCCTATCCTCCTTCTATCTCTCTCTTTCTTGATTGATTACTTCAAATGATTGCTTCAAATGTTTGTCTAATTAATGAGAAAAGTAATGCTAAACTGACATTAAATTACTTAACCTACTATTGATACCTTATGTTTTTCAAAGTTATACTGAAATTTTTGTTTGGGAGCCCCAAAAATTTAATGGCAAGATTTCGCTTAAAATTGTATTATAATGTGAAAGAGGATGTCATTTAATACACACCTCTGCAAAGATTTACACAGAAAACCAAAATGTTGTATTCTTTCATCAATATTCGGCTTTTGTTTTTAAAATTGTAATTTGTTTTTAAAATCTTTGGAGAAATGTATCGTACATGTATATGACATCCTCTTTCACAATATAAAATTTAAGTGAAATCTCGCCATTAAATTTTGGGGGCTCCTTTAATTTAATTTAATTTAATTTGTATAACACTGCTGGTATATTATAGACTGGGGTGACTGGCCGACATTAAACCAACACAACAATTCTACAGAACCAGAACCTCAACCTCAACCAAGACACCCTGCTTCTTCTAATGGAGGAAGGGGAAAGGGTAAGGACACCAAGCCGGGGACAAGTACCAGTTCAAATCCAACTAGCGGGTGGGATCATGTCAAAGCAGAGCATAAAGTGAAAGGTAATTGATATATGGGTTACCCTCTTGCTGTTAAAGGTGGGGTGAAATCCAAATATAAGTTGATTCCTGTTGATGTGCAGGGCTGCATACAACTCATATTTCTAAAAACATCTAAATATATTTTATAGATTTAAAAATATTGTTAAAAATAATTTTCTCAGACCTGCTAAGCTCCAGATCTCATTCATCTTGTGACATCATCTGTCAATCATTAGTGAGCTAACAAGAGACGGCGGTCTGTAGCTCCACCAGAGCTGACCACCTTTATAGACCATACAATACAAACATAGGAGTTGCTATGTCAGACGTGCTGTAGCATCACCAGGAAAAGAAAGGTAATGTGGAGGTATTGAATGAAAGAATGCAATTCTTTTGTAAGCATGTGCTGAGCTGGGGGAAGTTACAAACATAAATAGGAATTTATTTTGTGAATGATGGATCGGATATATATTCATTCATATGATGAGATATGAAAAAAATATGCCTCCATCATGAGACTTTAGAAGCTAATAGTAGTTTGGGTCTCATTGAGAAATTGTTGTGGAAACAGGACAAATTTACCCTCATCCCCAAAGCCTGGCTGATCTTGAAACTGAAAGAATGTCCCCTACACTTTTTGTGTCAGATTTCTCTGAACTTGTTTTCCCCTATTTTATACTTTTTCATTCAACTGTTTTACTGTCAATAGAAGCAACAGCACTTTGCTGTCGAGGTTAATGACTACTTGAGATTACTACAACGGGTACATGTAGAAATTTATCAGAATTTTCATGACTGTAAAAAGAAGAAAAAATGTTAATGATTTGTAATCGAGAAGACCAGGGAGAAATATTCCATGTATTCTTCTGTAAATGTGGCTAAAGTCTGCAGTACACACAGTGCTCTACTGATAGCAGGTAACAAGTTTCTTTTGTTCTCAAATTAGTGTCTTGCAGTTATGTCCACTAATCTTAGTCAGTGTATAGAGCATTGTGTCACATGATAAATGCCTGGCTATTGTTCATTGGAGCTTAATGGAAAGAGGATTTTGAGGGGGCTTAAGCCTATCTGTTTCCAAATTCTGTTGTTCCCCAATTAATGTTTGGTCTTAATCCCTCAAAATAAAAGTTCTGTAAAGTGTGGAGGCTTGTGGGCATGGAAGGGGTTAGGGAGAGTGTTGGATACTTGGATGGTATGATGATTAAGATTCAAGATCAAATGAGTACAGTCCAATCTGTGAATAAAGACCACTCAAGCGAGACAAGAAAAGTGGTCTTCATAGTCGAGTGGTATTTATATACCTGTGTGTACACATGTACAGGTACGTTAAGTACATACATGTATATGTTTTAGTGAGAAACCATTTTCAGGGGAAACAAAAAAGACACATGGTCTTTCAAACAAGAAACTAGACTGGTGTCATATCCTACAGATTCTTTGTCTGATTTTTCTGAAACACTTAATGATTTGTCCTTCAGATCTGTCCTCTTCCAATAAACAGGACAGCAGTATCAATGAAAACACCAGTGTGTTGTTGTACCGGTAGACAGTTTAATATCTACTATAGATTACTAGTACAGTATGTTTTTATCAGAGACTTATTATTATTTTGTAAAACTTTCATCCGGGTTATGATCACATTGAGTGATTTCAAGTACGGTGTTGAAAGCTGGTGTTGGTGTTGTGAGAACACCAACACCAGTCACAACACCGTACTTGAAATCAGGCTGGTGTTGGGATTGACCTCAGGAAATATGACGTATTTCCGCTAGTCTGTGTTGAGGGCTGGTGTTGAATGTCGTCTGCTGAATCGAGTATCGCGGTTGGTGTTGACGATTTACGTGTTATTTTCCCATTCACCAACACCAGCCCCTAGGGATTGGGAAATTCATGATTTCAAGTTCGGTGTTGGTGTTGGTGTTGCAGTATACCGCAGGTAACTATGCGGACATCTGGCACGAATCTCACGATCATGCCAAGGTAAAATTCAATTGTACAGTCAAAACAGCTGTAAATCCTGGGAGCTTCTTATGTATTTCAAGAAAAATTATATTTTATCTATTGATTTTTTAATATGACTTTACATTTTGTATTTGACATGGTGTTATTTATTGGAACTTCTGAATTGATTATGCTTTTATCGCAAGACTTTTCGCCTGTAGATTAGACGTCACTCGCTGTTGAGGCTGGTGTTGAGCTATCGATAACGCGCACACACGCGCGCACGCGTGATCGATATCGTCCTTCTAAACTGACCGTCGGTGTTGGAGCTCGGTTCAGCAGCCTTTCCAAGCTCTCAACACCAACACCAACACCGAACACCGTACTTGAAATCACTCAATATACAGGGTAAAAGCACATATATTCATTATATTCTTCTCCAAACATTCCAGAGACTCAAAGTGAGCAATCACCTAAGGAAATACTTTCTGTACACTACAGCTAGAATGTGTAAAATCAACCTATAAAAAACTTTGTTTAGCAATCTAAGGGTTAACAGTTACGGAGTGTAGAGAGAATTTGATAAACTTGGAATATCTCATAACCCTACATAGCCTTTTTTTGTTAAAAATCGGACCTACCATTACAAAGTCATGTGACCTTTAGTCTTTGCATGTCATCCTGAAAATCGCTCATTTTTGTGATTTTTGTACAAAAATTATGCATATATTCGGTCTTTTTTATAGTTTAGGTGTTTGTTTGGGGGGTCAAAATAGTTGAATTATAGTTAAAAATGAAATAAAACAACAAAAAATAAAATACATAAGTTAAAAAACAAAGAAATACATAAGAAATTATCAAAACAATAGATAACATAAGAAATAACCTGGCTCTTCTAAAAAAAAATGTATTATTATTCCAAATGGTTTAAAGTATACATGTAGTTTAAATATAAAGAATATATTATTTATGGGTAAAAATGTGAATTTTTGGGCCTGAATTGCATAATTTACCATAATTATGTAAATGAGGGAATTTTTCAAAAAAAAATGAAATTACCATAGTATTTTATACACTTGACTTCACTTGACATGCTTGCAAATTTTCACGGCAATCGGCTGTTTTGCAGTCGAGATCATGGGGGGGGGGGGGAGGGGGGAGGGGGGCCCCCCCCCCCTCCTTCCCCAGGCTATTTAGAGCTCATATGATGACTATATATTCCAAACATGCGGAGCAAAATCCTTTTTGATGATTGGTACACTTTAAATACTGGTATGTCTACAAACCTGATTACGGTACGAACACATACATCATCAAGAACAGCTAGTTAGTTGGCGCTCTTGTTGGAAGTAGTCTACAACTCAAATAGTTCAGACCCAATAGTTACTGTAATGTTATGAGCTGAAGTTATACAGCACTCCTAATTTGAACATAACTTATGTGCTCATTGTTAAACAGCCATGCACATTCATTATGAAGCAACCATGCAGAAAGCACTCTTCAACACAGTGCTCTTGGCACATAGTGTGTGATGTACTTAATGTGTAATTAGCCATGCACACATTCAACCCTCATACACTGCCTTATGTACTGTACATCTGAGAGTGGGAAGTTGCACTTGACCACTAGCATGCACAGCATAAGCATGATGTTTTAGCTACACCAATAAACTCCTGAACCTCAAGCAAAGATATGTGGAGCTTTCTTACTTTCTGGACCCAGCTACATTTAGTAAAGAAGAAGAAGTCAACTTAACAAACCCACTACGGTATTTTTGACAGTTACGACTTACAAGGGTCTGTATCTGCAAACTAGTGCAGGACTTGGGGAAAACCCGCTGTCCTTATCAGCTGAGCATTACTCTATAACCAGTTGTCCTTATCAGAGCATTGGGCAATAGTGATACGGACAATGTATACTGTGCAATAGGTGAAGCAAATGCTCTATAAGTCATGTTTGTATATTTCTTTTTGGAAAAAACATTCAGATCTATATCGTATTCTGCAACGACAAGGAAGAGATCTACCTTTGTCTATCTTTTACAGTGCATTTCTCATTTCCATGAGATACGACTGGCCTTCAAGTTGTATAGTTGTTCTTTCATCTATAGGTTGAGGAAAACAGTGATTGATTAGATTTATCACGAAGCAGACCTACATCACAATGTCACAAGGCAGAAAGAAGAGTAATCGTGATTCTAAAAAAATCATAGAATCTGATGTCACTGGCGTAGTAAAGCGGTACATTGACACAGGCGGCTATGGGTTCATAACGGAGGATGTTACACGTAGGAATGTATTTTTTCATATCTCTGCCGCGGTTTCAAAAGATATTCGACGACGGGATGACCCAATACGTGCTGGAGATGAGGTGATATATAATTTGTATCAGGCTCCGAAGGGATTCATGGCAGAGTCTGTTCGTATTTTGAATCAGGAAAGTTCTGAATCGGATGATAGTGACGATCTTCACCGAAGAAAAGATTCTAGAATCGGTCTACGAGGACGAGAATGTCGTAGTGGTGGAAGAGGTGGAAACCGTCGAGGAGGAAGTGTTGGGCGTGTGCATGAACTGCTTAAAGGTACCTAAAATGTGTAGGATTAACCTGCATGACTTGAGTGGACTGGAAACCCCAAAATAAACACAAATCGAATGAATGAACAAATGGAGCAAAACAAAATAGAAAATATAGGTGACAGTAGGTGATAATAGGAGACTAAAATTTCAATCTTAGATGTGCTTCATTGATTGAGTGGAAGCAGAGACAACAGTTTATTTTGTTCTCAAATTAGTGTCTTGCAGTTGTTGTCTCCACTAATCTAGGTCAGTGTATCGAGCATTTTGTCTCATGTCCCCTGATAAAAGCTTAGCTATTGTTCATTGGAGCTTATACTGGTAATGCATAGAGGTTTTTGAGGGGGCTTAGGCCTATCTGTGTGCACATTCTGTTGTTCCCCAAGTAATGTTTGGTCTTAATCCCTTGAAATGAAAGTTCTGTGAAGTGTGGAGGCTTGTGGGCATATGGAAGGGGTGAGTGAGAATGTAGGATACTTGGATGGTCTGATGATTATAAAGATTCAAGATCGACTAAATACAGTCTAATCTGTAAATAAAGACCACTCAAGGGAGACAAGAAAAATGGTCTTTATAGACAGGTGGTATTTTAATGTACACATCAATATTTCAATTTCAAACACATTTGTTTTTGAAAATCCTTGGAGAAAAATATCTTAAATGACATCCTCTTTCTCAATATGATACAATTTTTAAGTGAAATCTCGCCATTAAATTAAATTTGTATTACACTGCTGGTATATTGTAGACTGGAGTGACTGGTCGACAGAAAACCAACACAGTTCTACAGGACCAGGACCAGAACCTCAACCTCAACCAAGACACCCTACATGTACTTGTTCTAATGGAGGAAGAGGAAAAGTTAAGGACACCAAGCCGGAGACAAGTACCAGTTCAAATCCAACTAGCGGGTGGGATCATGTCAAAGCAGAGCATACAGTGAGAGGTAAGAAAGATATATCATGGGTGAAATCCAAATATAAGTTGATTCCTGTTGATGTGCAGGGCTGCATACAACACATATTTCTAAAAACATCTAAATATATTTAATAGATTTAAAATTATATTAATAAAAAAAAATTTGCAGACCTGCTAAGCTCCACTCTATCAAAATGCTCCAGATCTCATTCATCTTGTGACATTAATGAGCTAACAAGAGACAGTGGTTTGTAGCTTCACCAGAGCTGACCACCTGTTAACAATAGACCTTAACAACCTAGGAGTCCTTGTGCATTCAACAGTATCAACGAAAACACCAGTGTGTTGTTGTAGACAGATTAATATCTACTATAGATTACTAGTACAGCATGTTTTTATCAGAGACTTATTATTATTTTATAAATACTTTCATCCTGGTTATGATCACATTATACAGGGTAAAAGCACATTCTTCTCCAAACATTCCAGAGACTTAAAGTGACCTAAGGAAATACTTTCTGTACACTACAGCTAGAATGTATACAAAATCAAACTGAAAAACAGTTTTACCCAGCAATCTAAGGGTTACAGTTATAATAAGCATACAATATTTATATCTTTTCTTCATTTTTTAAGTTCCCAATTTATATTAAATTAATGAAGAAAATAAATTTGATAACAGAAAAAAAGATTGAATTCATTGGTTTAAATTGTTGATGTAATACAGTTTTTTTTCATTTTCTATTTTATGACGGCCAGAAATTAGAAGATTTTAGAACAACAGTGTATAGGAATGTTTATCACTGATTCTTCCTTTATCTGCAGAAAATACACAACCACATGTGACTCCCCCCAATTCAACTGAACTCTCGGGGTCTGCAAAGCAAAGAGAGCGCGGTAACATTTTCTACAAATCAGCTACTGAGGATTTCAGCGCCACTGTACGTATCATCAGACTTGAAAATGCCATCACTTGCTACAAGAATGCACTTTCGTGTAGCAGCAATAGAGATGACGAAGCTTCCGCATCAAAGAACATCGGAATGGCATCTTGGAAGCTGGCAACCATTGCTCTTGAGAGTGAGACGGAAGAATCAGAGAAGGTAGGCTTGCCGTAGAATAGATGCACTGAATAGATGCACGGGTTATATGAAACATAATTGAATTCCTAAATTGTACCTTTATAGTTATACCCACATCGGTGAGCTCCAACAGAACAATCTAGAATCTTTTTTTTCTTTTTTAAAATGATTCAATTACCTGCTAAAAATAAACTTAAATAAATATCAGACTTTTTTGTTTGACCATTTTCTTGAGGTACATTTTTGTTACTCTTATGTGCAGAGACAGCAGAGTATCCTGAAGCACTTTAAAGAAGCGTTGAAGTTTTTCTGCACGGCATATGTTCTGAGGTCCTACAAGAGTGCATCATGGGGTGACAAGCTGGTCGAATCTTGGGAGAATTGTTTAGAGGAGGCATGTGAATGGTTAGCTATGCTGGACACAGCAGGTAAATGTTGTCAGACAAATGATTTTGTGTGTGTGTGTGTGTGTGTGTGTGTGTGGAAGGAGGGGGGGGGGGTAGTCTTTGTGATTAATAGAGAAAATGATCTTGAAATTACATGTAGCAGTTTGAAGATTGTTTTGAATACTTGCACAAAAGTTACTCTACATATGTTGAATCTGAAGTTTACAAAATAGTTAGACTTATGCAAAATTTGACTCACCGGTAGTTAAGTGTAAATAAACACATATTTTGTGTAGTCTGATTTTTATTCATGGATTCAACTTGGGGAAAATTTGACTTGTGAGACTTCAAGTTATGCAGATTTAACTGTAACTCACAAAATACCCCCCCCCCCCCTCTTATTTCTTGTGCCCTGTTCCCAATAAGGAATCAAGAAATCGATTTTCATTCTTAATTCTTCATATAATTTGATCCCTGATAATGTGTTTTTTTCAGAGAGGGTAGCTGGTTTCAGTGAGTTGCTGGGCTATGTACCAGACTGTAGTCTGAAGGCTAATGGATACATCCAGTATTCAACTCTCCTGTTTCATGAAGGTCTAACAGCCTGGCAAGATGGAGAATACAAGGAGTGCTACAGGTAAGGCTTTGATTATCTTGATACTGTCTGTTAAACCCCTTTTCTTAAGGTCTAACAGCCTGGCAAGATGGAGAATACAAGGAGTGCTACCGGTAAGTCTTCGATTACTTTGATACTATCTGAATACTTCATATTGCACTAATCATCCCTTTCACTGTGACTAGTACAGTACTAGTAAAAAAAAAACTAATAGAGACAAGAGAAAAACAAACAACAAAAACAACAACTACCGGGTGCTGCTATTACTTCTGAACACCATCTTGTTTCCAATTTCCAATGATTTTCAGGTACTGGAGACAATGCTGCTTCCCAATCCAGGAAGCAGAGAAGCAGAGAGCTATGTGAAAAAGTTTTGTTGTGTGAAAATCAATCATTATACCAGAACAGATTATTATTTCTTTAAAATATTATGGAATAGGAAAACATGCTATACTTTTACAGAGATGCCAACCAGTACGATTAAATTGTATTTAGTATGATAATAAGAGTGAGAGTGGCCGACGGGCCAGTAGCTAGTAGTGTCGAGTTTTTGTGAAAATCTTATTTTTTTAATTTTTTTTTTAGGATACTCAGTTGTTTTTTTTGTCAAGAGGTTGGCATCTCTGCTTTTAGGTATCTTATGCGTGATTTTCCTTGATTTTCAGGTTCATGAGAGAATGCTACTTCCCAGTCCAAGAAGCAGAGAGGCTTTGTGAAGGAGATTGCTCTATCAAGTCTGAAATAGCAGTCTTACAGGAAGATGTCTACATCCACACATGTGTTGCTGAGTCCAGCATGGCACGAGCAACAGGTAATTTAACTTTATCCTGGAGCACCTGGGAGAGAGTTCTCCACAAGTAAAATTACAAATGTTTCTCCCCTCCCCTTGCCCCCCCCCCCCCCCAAAAAAAGGAGCCCTCATTTTGGGGGTATTCATTTTCAATCCAAAATAGAAAAGAAATTTGAATGTAAAGTGTTATGCTGGTTGTGGAGAGGGTCCCTTGAATTCCTGAACTCCTATATGTTTTGCAGGCCTTGATAGGTTATTGTACCATCTGACATGTTTTTATCAGTTCAAGATTTTGTATAACTTATTGAAACGTGAAAAGATACAGATGCTTCAGTTTGCAGTTACATGTACATGACAACTTTTTATTTTCCCAAGATCAAAATTAACGTAAGACTAAATCAGCTACATCGTTAAGGTACAGTTTCATTTTAGATATCCTTGTTGCCAGTCCTGCATGTAAACAATAACTTATCTAGGACCAGGCACCATTACAATATTGCAATGAAACATTCACTATCATGTTCTGTGCAGAATGAAAATGGCAATGTCATATTATTCACCTGTTTTCTTTCATGTTCTTCCTTCAGGTGATGACTTGCTCGAAGAACACTTGAAGAATGAGGAAACAGTGAACACTAACATAATATGGACCGTGATAGATTTCTACACACAAGCAGCAATGTTATGCAGGGATAAGGACCTGGAGCAGGAGGCTATAGCTTACAGTCGACTTGGACGTGTCTATGGCAAAGTGAGTTCATAGTAGCCTCTTTGACAGCTGTTTTAATATGTCTCTTCAGATATTCCTTATTTAATGTATATGCATCTGTGAGTATCTCATTGTTAGGATGTGATTTTTTTATGCCTCCACCCACTAAAGATGGTACTGGAGGCATGAATTCACAGAGGAGGTTTAAATTTAACCCATGGTTTAAACCCTCATTTACATAACCCATGGTTTAAAAATTAGCGCAAAATAAGCGTACCTTGCCTTGCGTGCGTCTAATATTGGACCTCTGACTTGTGTCATGCTTATTTTGCGCTTATTTTAAACCATGGGTAAAATCTAAACCTCCTTTGTGAATTTGGGCCATTATGTGGATTATTCACCTGTCCAGCTTTTTCATTATTGCGATAATTTGAGAACCATTTGAGGTATTTAGTTCAAAATTAGTGCAAGAAGGTATCAACATAGGAAAACAAAGTTATTAGATTTTGGAGTAAGTAGGTGAAATATGAAAGGTCATAGAGCTGAGTTTCCATGGAGTTTCAGGTTTTTAGCATTACCATTAATATCTTTAGATCTTTTTAGCCATAAACTCCAAAATTAGCTCTAAATCTATCATGATAGTGAGATCAAGTGAGAAGGTTTTAGGGTTAGATGGTCAAAGGTTATAGAGGTCAGTATTCATGAAATAAAAAGATTTTAAGCCTTGTCATGACCATAATTATATTCATAAACATTTGAGCTGTAAACATCACTTTAAACTAGCATGCATCATTCTATGGAGAGAAACGGATCAATTTTTTGGGTAGTCGCAGTAATCATCTAATAATGCCCAATATTATGTAATGAATTTATTGAAATTTCCTTTAAGGTCCTTACTTTGCCATCCCGAGGGAAAGACTACTACAAGAAAGCTATTCAGCTGGCACTAAGCATGACCCCAAGGACATTTCATGGTGTTGGTGAGTACACTCTTTATTGTTTCTCTATTCAAACATGTTAGTTGCATTTGAATTCAATTATTGCTACGGTAACAAAGGTTCGTACGAACGATAATTTTGTATGAATCTCCCTGTTTTTCCATTGTCTTCCCGAATTTCCATTGTCTGACGTTCGTAGCAGTTCGTAATGCCATTTGTGACCGAGGCTTTAGTCACAATACATCAAACAAAGTTTTGCTGTCTTATGTTGAGCATTTCTTTCTTCAGCATTGTTTTCCAAAGGCTGAAACTCCATGATATTTTGCATAATTGTATAATTATACTCTTTTGTAAGATAGAAAGAAAGTTGGGTAGAAACCCAAATGTTCTTTCATTCTTTTTCTTAATTTTCATCTTAATATATGGTCTTCATAAAATGAAACTCAATACCAAATAGGTTGTGATTGCACTTTGATATGTCTTATGTTGGGAGCCGAGAGAGCATTAACTGTAGTTATATGACGCCTGCTTCAGCAACACTTGCTTTGCAGAGCTCCTTATATCAATCAAGGACTAACACCATACCCCTAGGCCCGCCCCCCCCCCAACTCCGAGAACGGACGGACCCCATGCGTGTTGCCAAAATGTCCTTTTCGTAACAAAACAAAAAGGTCGACCCGTATTGACTTTACACACCGGACTTTTGCTGAAAAGGGGGGGTGCTGAAAAAGGCTCGTATACAAAAGAAAAAGGTCGAGCCGTATTGACTTACACACCGGACTTTTGCTGAAAAGGGGGGGTCGGTTGGAACACGCATATGCGTACCCTAAATAACACTGAGTGGGGGGGCCGGGCCCCTAGGCCTACTCCTTATCCTGTACCTGGTCTAAAATCTAACAGCAATCTTTCTTAATCCACAACATATATCTTTGATGAAATAAAGCCTGGAGCAGTAGCTTGCCAGAGCATATATATCTGGTCTCCTGTACTGGAAGGAATGTCATCTTTTCATAGCCAGAAGCCAGGCATTAAAACTATTCAAAGTGTATGTGCTAATAATTGTCCTAGCTCCAAACAGACAATATGACCTAGCATCTGTGGGCTCTCAACGAATTGATATTTTGTTGTTGGTTTCTGTAGGTTGGTTCATGGAATCCACAAAGTTTGTCGAGGACTTCCAGAAACGTCTGAACAAGGACGAAGAGGAAGACAAGGACAAGGAAGCTGCCCTCGAAGAGATGAAGGAAGACGTTGACAAACTCTCAGAAATGGCCACCAAGAAGGGTGATCTGGATTTTGTTAAGGACATCTACAAGACGTGGCCGCCGAAGGCTCCGGGAGCCAAGCTTAATGAGAAACTCTCCACAAAGAAACTCCTCCTGAAAGCCATCAGTCACTACCACCCTGATAAGGTGGACAAAGAGGTCCATGGCAAGAACTGGTTCTATTTCAGTGGAGAGATTACAAGGCACCTTAATTCCAAATATGCCTGCCAAAAGGGTGTAGAGTGAAATTCATTCTCCAAGTAGACTCCCCATCCCTTCTTCAAGATGGTTATTGAAGTCAACAAGTAGAAAGGGTTTCACTCCAACTGTGAGATCCATGGATCACAACATCAAGTATGTCTACTGCAAAGGGATGATTTAATACACTCCCATCCCGCTACTTGCTGTACAGCTGCTACAGAAGGTGGTTGAATCAGGTACATTGTGGCAATATCACATCAACCCAAAGAGGTACTTATGTATATAAACCCTTTGATTTGGATAAAGAGAGCCTCAGAGAGCCTTTCAACAAACTGAACTAGTTCCACAAAACTAGGATTAAACTAATACACATCCATACCGTCTGAAGTATGTAGATGTATAGCTATGGTATGCATGGACTAAGGGATGAGAATATTTATGTGCTTTCATGTAGATAACTTGGACATGGACATGGACAGTGGACATGGTAGTCATAAGAAGATGTTTTTGTCTTTTTCACACTGAATCAAGTACATGTCACGGGATTCCCAACTGTTTGTGAAATCATGGAAAGTCAGAGACTAAGAAGCAGCAATCAAATCAGGGAAAAATCTGGGATATTCATAATGTTTCAAAGATGTTTTTGAAATGTTTCAAACTGTAAATCATTGAAATAATGATGCTTGAATTAATGAAACTCGATCAGGGAAAAATCATGAAGTTCAAATCAGGGAATTTTGGTCTTTTGAATCCATGAAAAGGGTATTTTTGTCATCATCAGTTGCGTTACGCACTTATCCCATCAAGGTATCATATTAAGTTGCATAAGATACTGTATACGGAATGGGTGGAAAATTTGATAGCCCTGGTTGGGTGCACATGCAGGGTTTGATAGGAAATACACAATAAAAACCAAAGCAATCCTCGATCATGGTGTTAAATGCAATGCAAGATATAACATCCCTGTTAAGGGTCTAAAAATCAGAAATATTAGATGGGATTCCCTGTACAGGGTATCAAAATGACTCTAGACTTTAATCCTCATTTAGGGTGCTTTTGAGAAAGTGATTTACAAAGATGATGTTTAATGCTATGCTCAATGTAACATACCGTCCTTTAGCAACTGCAAAGTTTGTGTTGTCTTGATTTGTTTCTCTGTCACTGAAACTTAGTATGTTCAAGTTCTTTATAAATGTGTGTAATGAACATATATGTTTCATTGGTTTGTGCATCTTTGAATAGTTATTGCAGTCATCAATATTATATTCAGATAGAAAATATTATTTGAGCTTTGAGGCCAAATCCTGTTTTACAACTCAAATGCTTATGTAATTAGGATGATAGTCATGCTCATATTTTTATGCCTCCGTTACGAAGTAGCCGGAGGCATTATGTTTTCGGGTTGTCCGTCCGTCCGTCCGTCCGTACGTCCCGTTCTCGTGATCGCGTTATCTGAAGAACCGATTGATGGATTCCTGCCAAACTTTGGTCATGTATGTTACTTGCAGAGCCGATGCACTGATTAGATTTTGGGGTCACAAGGTCAAAGGTCAAAGGTCACAGGGCTCATTATGTATGCAAAAACAGCTCGTGATCGCGTTATCTGAAGAACCGATTGATGGATTCCTGCCAAACTTTGGTCTTGTATGTATCTTGCAGAGCCAATGAACTGATTAGATTTTGGGGTCACAAGGTCAAAGGTCACAGGTCACAGGGCTCATTAGGTATGCAAAAAGAGCTCGTGATCGCATTATCTCAAGAACCGATCGATGGATTCCTGCCAAACTTTGGTCATGTATGTATCTTGCAGAGCCGATGAACTGAATAGATTTTGGGGTCACGAGGTCAAAGGTCAAAGGTCACAGGGCTCATTATGTATGCAAAAATAGCTTGTGATCGCATTCTCATTAGAACAGATTGATGGATTCCTGCCAAATTTCGATCATGTATGTATCTTGCAGAGCCAATGAACTGAGTAGATTCATGGGTCATGAGGTCAAAGGTCATGGGCTCAATATGTATCCAAAAATAACTTGTGAACGCATTCTCATTAGAACTGACAGATGGATTACTATTTAACTCAGGACATCTTGCAGAGCTAATGAACTGAGTAGATTTTAGGGTCATCAGGTCAAAGATCAAAGGGTCATATATGTATATGAGAAATTGCTTGTAATCACGATATTCTGAGAACCTCTTAATGGATTACAATTGAACTTGAATTTGAAAAATTTCTTCTGTTTTGGTTTGTAAAATTGCTCTATGACGGAGGCATCATTTTCGACTGCGCGCAGTCGAAGTTCCATCTAGTTCCTTTGATTATGAATATAGGTTTCATTGTAACCATCATCATAATCATGCATTAACATCATTATCATCATTAGAAATACCACCACCACCATCATCTGCAGCAGCAGCACCACCACCAGCATTATCATCGTCACCATCATCATCATTATCATCATAATCATTGTTGTTTAAAGTCTGTATTTTCTGCTTGTTACAAGATTAGATATGTTTAATTTCCTTGATGACCTTCTGTTTTCTGTATGGATATTTTTAGTTCTTTAATAGTATATTTCATGTTTACATATAGTACATTTACATACATTTACCTTTTGGTGTTGTGTAATGTTTTCTTGTTTATACACTTTCAGAGTTGAATCCCTTTCTTTCCTTATTCTTTTCCCCCATTTGGTAGTGTTGGTACACATAGATTTCAAAAGATAAGATATCTTTGTGTTCTTCCTTTTTGAAATGCTCATCTTGTTACTGAAGGTACAATAAAAAGCAAGGGCTACATGGGTTAGACATGTCTTGTCATAATTTTTTTTTTTTTTCTGTATTCCCTTAAATTCAGTGTGATGAAAACCCAATGGATCAAACCCATTAGAAATGCTTGTTGAAATGAAAATGACAACATGTCAAATGGCATATCAAAACATCCTAAAGCAGCATGTTTTCATATGCATTTTGGAGATAAACAATCCTCGATATCAGTGTACAGCAGAAAAAATTGCAGGGGTTGCAAGAAAAGAGATTATCCTGAATATTCATTGCCCATTAGCAGAATTAGTATATGAGTAAATAATTAACCCTTTAAAGATACTATGTCCCTTTTGCAGCCAACCTCAAATTCTGTAGAAATTTGCAGGAATTATGAATATGTCATGTTTGTCCTATCTGTGAAATTTAAACGTTAGCAGTGTGCTAATATTCAAATTATGCAAGGAAACCCGTTTACTTGCTAGACTTCACTGTCAGACACTATTGTCAGTATTGAGTGACTGACTGGCTTTTTCTTCTTCTCTGGCAATAACATACATACAATGAGCTGTAAAAGATTTGTCTACATCAATAACCCACTTCTTGTAATGGCCAAAATTAAACTGATTGAATCTTTGTGCAGTATAAAACGACCATGCGGTACAATGGTCTGAAAATCAAGACTATTACTTATTGGCTCTATAGCTCCTTAGACGATTTGACAACTAATAGTCGTTATTTTCCCACTTAAAGACATTTTCAAGCCCCATTTTTTCAAGGGGAGTTCTAAATTAGTATTATCTTTCAAATGCCATTGGAATGTGCTTATTGCGTTTTTGTTATGCTTTGTACATATGAGAGGAATTCAGGATCGATGTAATGTACAGAAGGAAACATCACATTACAAATGACCAAAATAAAGAACATCAATTATCAAATTATTACTTTTTATTTGTCAATATTGTATAGAATTGTATAGAAATATTATTGCCACAAAAATTGCTCTCCAAAATAGTTTCATAAGCTTGTTAAGAAAATTACCTACACATCACTTCCAGTGGAACATCAGGACTTGTGCCGTAGCTGTGAGTACCATTGATTCTTTTCAACAAAGATTTATAGCATTGTTGGGGGGGGGGGGGGGGGGGGTACTCACATATTAAGATGGGGGTGTGCCACTCTATGGGTAACTTTTTAACAAAAAATCCCTAAACATGGGTACCATTTTAACAAAAATACCATTAAAAATGGGTCTGTTTTTTCAAAATTTCCAAAAATTTTGGACACCTGAAAAACATCGGAAAATTTTGAAAAATGGGGGGGTTTTTTTCAGGAAAAATACCCCCAAATGACCCCTAATAATGGGTTTGGCTTGAGCGGCACACCCCGTCCAAACCAAATCTGGCAACTACCATAATAATAGGGTTCAACAGCCAATCAAAATCAAGGTTTCCATGGTAGTTACCATCAATGGTAAGTTTTGTGCAATGGGGTCCAGGACTGAATTTGACTTCACAATCAAGAATAATACCATACAGGGGATAAATCACATCAATCACAAATTAATACATGATAAAGACAGAGTAACAAGTCTGTAGAATAGATTTTTAAAACATTTTAAAAACATTTTTAAATCAGCTGCACAATTCTAAAGGCCATTCATTTTCATTTCTTTATTATACCGACATATTCTGTGTCCAAACAGGTCGTGTGTATCTAGACAGATACTTCATCAAAGGGTAATTTGAACAAGCTTGCATCTAATATTTCATGTGTGTTAAATATACCTCGCCAATATCATATATGAAAAACTATGGAAGTTAATTTGGTCCATATTTTTTTCTTACGTGAAAATAATAGGTCAATTTACATAGCACAGCTACTATATGAATATACTCTACTGCGCTTAATACAAGGTATCATATTATTACCCTGGCTGTAGCTGAGCTGCCATGATAAGGCGCTAAAGCATTTCAAGGAAATTCCTGCCAGGTAGGCCATTTACATCACCTGGGTTGAGTGTGGCAAATGTAGATCAATGTCTTGCCAAAGGATATTAGTGCTGCGGCGGGGCTCGAACCGCGACTTTGTGATCAAGAGTCCGATGACATATCCACTCAACCACGAAAACTCTTCTAAAACTTAAAAAGTTTTCAAATTTTTTCTTTTTTTAATGCACTTCATGGTTATGTATCTTAAAACACTCAGATAAGTGAGCACACATAGGATATTGGTGCACTCATCTTCTTTTTTCATCCCCACTTGCCATCCATTGAGTACCGGTACACAAAAAACATATTTATAAACAATGAATACTGTCTCAAATAAGTCCACATAATTCACTATTCATATGACATTAAAAGGAACATACATTTGTTTCATCTTAAAGATACTATGTCCCTTTTGCAGCCAACATCAAATTCTTTAGAACTTTGCAGGAATTATGAACATGTCATGTATGTCCTATCTGTGAAATTCAAACATTAGCAGTGTCCCAGTATTCAAAATATTCAAGGAAACCTGTTTACCTTCTAGACTTCACTGTCAGACACTATTGAGTGACGGACTGACATTTTTTTCCTTTGGTAATAACATACATAAAATGAACTGTAACAGGTACATGAGCATTTGTCTACATCAATACTGAGCCCACTACTTGTAATAGCAAAAATTAAACTGATTAAGTCTTTGTGCAGCACAAAATGTATGACCATTCGGCAAAAGGGTCTGAAAATCAGACTATTGCTTAAAAACTAATGGTCGTTATTTTCCCACTAAAAGCCATTTCATACCCTTTCGGTTTGAGGGAAGTTCTTAAATAGTATTGTCTTTCAAATGCCGTTGGAATTTAACCTTTTCATTTTTTGGCCTGAAAATTAGACATAGTACCTTTAAAGGCTATCCAGCATGTGTGTGAGTATTGTACAAGTTCCTTCTTGATTGATGTTATAGTTTTTTTGTTATCATTCTTTAAAGGTGACCCAATTTACAAGCTGGGCTTCCGGGTCACCTGGTCTATTTTAACTATGTAAAATATTTCAAATACATTGTTAGTTTTTTAATATACGAGGGAAAAATTAAAACGTCAGTAGATTCAGTACACTTAGCTTCTTAGAGAACACTTCCCACACATTTTACATGTACCTTACATAATGGTTATCATATTCTCAGGTCTTGACAGACCCTTCAAAAATTTAGATCGATTAATAGATTGTGGTTTCCTACATGAATCGTTGGTAATTCAAAATTTGACAAGAGGAAGAATTGAGATGCTTTGCTTAAACTGTTATAGTATTGGATATGATTTGATTTTGGTATATCACACATTTTTTATTTCGGCTCAAGCCCGTAAACTCGAGGGGGGGGGGTGAACATACAGTGGAACCTCGATATAAAAAGGTCCTTAGGACCATGGAAATTACCTTGCAGACCTCCCAACATTTGAATTTCAAAATCCCTAAAATTTTACGCGGCTCAGCAAAATTTGTGGTACGTCGCGCCAGGTCTGGCTTATCGAGAAATGTGCATCATGAAGCTACCCAACACACATATCGGGGTAAAAAAAAAAAGGATTATAAAGAGCTGGGACCAGCAAAATCACCTTGTTATATCAGATCTCGTTATATCAGAGCTTTTATAATGAGGTTCCACTGTACTGGCTTTATAAGACAGGGTTATGGGCTGGTTTAATACACTGATTTATGAAGTGTCAAGAGTTAACCTTATCATCCTATAAAAAAAAATCACAATATTTCTGTAACTAATAGAACAAACCACTACCATGTCAGCATAAAATCAATTTCTCATTTGTACTTCATGGCTGTGATCATTTTTATTATTCATTGTGTTACGGATTTTCAGTAAATTGTAAAGACCACCATTTTATTGCAGAATTACAGTAATTTTTACAGGAAATGATTTTTCTTGCAGCCTTATGGTATTAACTTGTACATACAACATTGCTTGACACTTGGCACTCCATAAATCAATGAACTAACTAAGTTAAACCATGTTCGAGTTCATTTCAATTCAATGTTTTTATTGTCCATATCAATGGAAATTTGTTTTTGTTTACATGCATTAACGTAAAAAACCAATGGAGTTTGTCCACCTTTTCTGGATATGAGCGGATAGGTGTAAGACCTGTCATCAAGTCCTGGGGTTATTTTTTATGTTTTCAATGGCCTGGTCCGTGATAGCACTTCTCATTGTTGCGTCTATTACCCAACCAGGAAGGAGATCCCGAACCATCACAAACGGCTGAACCCATCTTGGAAAAAAACAATCCTTTCTCTCATGGCAGTCCCTTCTAGGATCCGGTATGCTGTGTCTTCAGCAGTGGTAGAGAACATTTCAGGCTTAAAGATACCCTTGGAGAACTTCACTGCATTGGTTGTATTGATGGGGCCTGTGATTGCAAAACAATAACAGATTTTAATGTATCAGGTTTGATGAAAGATTGAGTGATTTTATTCACTAAATACAACAATAACAAATAATAACATACATGATAAAAAAAAATTAAAATTCATAAGGACCGCCCTGCTCAGTTATGCATATAACAGTTGTAGCTGTTCTGCTGAGGGGTCCTAACTGTTTGCCATAATTATGCCCCGGCAACAATTGCTTCAGGGCCTTTACTTACTTGGATCCAACACCTACCTTGAGTTTAACCCCTAAACAAACTCAAACAAACTGCAACCCAAGCCCTAACCGTTTATCATTGGTGAAATAATGCCCGAAAGATAAGATTAAAATCTGAAATTGCTGAATATTTCTTTCACTGGTTAGTTAACTTATATTAAAACTTTCTAATATAATAACATAGCTTTTCAAATGTATATATCCTGCCAGAAGCTTAAATGTGTCATTTTTAATTCATCAAGATAGATAATGAAAAGCACCAAATCAAAACTCCTGAAAAAAACCCACATACACACACTTGCTGGTTTGAAAAACAGGCTTTTGCCTCACATTACCTTCAACAACAAGGTAACAATTTGATGCTAGCTTTGCAAACCAAGGTGTCTCCTGTACTAAAGCCCACATACATATCTTAATTTGCAAAACCAGTGATGGTATGCGATACATTCATTTTTTTCCTTTTTATGTATTTTAAAGCTGAAATACTTCTCCTTTGAAATCTGCAGATTTGATTAGGCCCAATACTTACCAATGATATGCTCTGTAATAGAAATGTCCATTTGTTGGAAGTGAAAGTCGTGGCGTAAAGACCCAAAGAATCCATGGAGGGCAAATTTACTGGCACTATATGAAGGGTATAAAGGCGCTGGTATTAGTCCTGTAAGGAGAGGTACAAAGAAATGAAAAACAGCCATTAGCCTTTTGAAACTTAGTGACATACATGTACCTTAAGTGCAATTCCAAAATTGTGTCCCCCTTTTTTATGTGAGGCAATTACCATTTCTTCTTTTTTCTATCTTTCTTTTTTATGTGGCTTATCAGCAAAGTTATTAGCAAAAACGCATCCCAAATATGTCTGAAGACGACATCCCTTCTTTTTTGCTATTGCTTTACAGAGATTTTTTTTATTTAATCAGTAAATTTGTGCCCTCTCCCCCTCCCCCCCCCCCCCCCCCTGCTCCCAAACAAGCTTGAATCTGCCAATCCTGAGATCTGATAAGTTACCTGTTAAATAAATACTTTAAGATGGACTTTAAGTCCACTATTTGTACTCTTCACATACCTAAAACTACCATTCATGGCGCTTACGCTTGGTTTAGGAGTATTTATAGCATGGGCCTATATTGCCCTACAGACAAAATATGTACTACCGGTATACATTTGACAAAAGTCAATTATGTGGCACTCTGCGATGTGGACGGTGTCATTCAATATGCCGTTGCATGAATAGTCCTCAATCTTATTTAACCCGTTGCCTATTGGAACCAAGTGGTTCCTGTATAAAGCTTTGGAAATAAGAGAACTCGGTACTCAATGGGTTAACTTCCCAACATCTCACTCCTAAGCAGAGATGAATCATGAGGATCAAATAATATGATATTAAGTCAAAAAAATATCAATATGAATTTGCATACAGTTTTAGAAACTTGGAGAACCAATCCTGACTAGCACTCGTGCTAACTTTTGGATCTCCCTTTAACAACATTTTAAGTTTTTAAGTTTAAAAATATCCTTTATTTGGATCACTTATACGCTATTGGAACTCTGTGAATTTCAATTCCAGCCACAAATCTCTACGTATTATTAAGTTATAGCTTATTCACAGGTTTTGATATGACATGGTATATGATTAATTTAATTTGTACACATAGTTCTACTATGGATATTTTCCTTTTCTTTGTAACTCATGTACATGGATATTTTTGTTATTTTGTAACCCACTTGAATACATTTGTAACATTGTGTTATGTTGTTGTTTTGTTGTTAATAAATTCAAATTCAAATTCAAATTCACCAGCCACTGATGAGACCACACCTATGCTTCCCTTGCTCTCAGCCAGCATGGGCGTAGCATATGTAGCCAAAGCCACGTATGCTCGGAAGTTGACGTCTATTATCTTTTGTAGCCTGTCAATCTGATCGACACCCCAAAGGTGATTGTAGTTTGAGTAGATGTGGTTCAGAATCAAGAAGTCCAGTCCACCGAAGCGCTTCTCCGCTTCTTTGACGAGCGCCTCTGTGTCGTTCAGGCGGCCCATGTCCAGGGGCATGTAGAAGGCCTCTTTCGCTCCAAGATCTTTGCATTTTTCCACAACCTATGTAATGATGACCATCATGATAATAATGATTTATATGACCTGACTGCTAGGAGCGCAAGTATATGTTTATCAGAGATAAGCCATCAGTTAACATATGGCTTTAAGTTTTCCTTAAGGGACTCAGAAATTGAGAATTACCTCATAAAATGTTAAGAGCACATCAGCTTGGTTTTAATATTCCAGTTCTGAAACCATGAATTTATCTGCGAGCCATCACACCTCTAAATTTGTTATTTGAATGATTGTGAACATGTGGTGGAAAAACACATCTTAATTGGCAACGTTTCGACCCAACATGATTGATTTTCATGACTACTGTATAAACAAAACCAATATTACATATATGTGCATTACATGAATTCATTCAATGTATGTAAATCTCAACATCAAATATGCTGTATGTTGGAAAATTTTGAACAATCTACTTTAATGTCATTCTGAATCCTCCATCTATTGTTTCCACTGTTGACATACATGGACATCCTGTATTTTAAATTTTGAGGATTTATTGAAACTGGTCTGTTAGCATCAAAGATGTTTATTTATAACTGAATTATATTTTTATATGCAATTATAAAAGAATCTTGATTCTGTATTATAGTATATATATAAAATATACAGTGTACATGGTTTTAGCATCTAGCTATGAAGTATCTTTTGTTCAGATGAAGAGAAGAGAATCAACTAAATTGACCAGGTTCTCTTGCGAATGACCAATACAGTCCACACATGTAACTCTTACCTGTTGCAGTACAGCTTCTCTGCGGGCAGTGACCACAACCCTAGCTCCCTGCTTGCAATACCAGTATGCCATCTGTTCCCCTATTCCAGTGCTTGCTCCGGTCACTATCACTCGTTTTCCTTTGATGCTTGCTGCATGAACAGATAGAAATAAAACATATTTTATAAAACCTTGAATACCTTGAATACCAAAGCTTCTGAAAGAAAGCCGTCTCTAGCTGCCAAGCTTTCAGGTCTAACTTCAAGGGGGGGATGTCCCAGCTTCCGGGTCTTGCACCATAGTCATTTTACATCTGTATCTTGCTTGCTGGGTCATATATTCAGGAATGTCATAATTGGAGTGTCTACTGGGAGAATGGTGAATTATACTGCTCCTTCTTGCAGTGTTTGTCAAGTCTGGCTTTAAAGCTGTTTACGGAGGTCGCAGATACCACCAACTCAGGGAGGGAGTTCCAGTCGTTGAGGACCCTGTGGCTAAATGAGTCTTGCCTGAGTTTGGTGTTGCACCTGGGTTTGGTCAGTTTGAATGCATGCCTTCTCGTTGTTGAATTGATTGCAGGTGTGAAGAATTGGGTAGAGTCCAACCTGTCAATGTTCTGCATCAACTTCAACACCTGAATCATATCACCTCAGAGGCGGTGGTGGCTGAGTAAGGGAAGCTTCAAACTCACAAGTCTCTCATGGTAGCTTTGGTGTTTTATCTCTGGTACCATTTTTGTTGCTCTTTTTTGTACTTTCTCTATGATTTTTTTCGTCCTTCACATAGCGAGGGTGCCAGATTACATTGCCATATTCCAATATGGGACAAACTAGACCTTTGTAGAGGAGTAAAATTGTTGATCTGTCCTTGCAAGTGAAAGATCTACGTATGCGAGCTAGTACTCCATTCGCTTTTCTAGCAGCAATTGCAGATTGTTGATGAAATCTGAGCTTCTCGTCAATGACCACTCCAAGGTCCTTTTCTTCTTTGGTTTCTGGGATCTTTACACTGTCTAGCTCATATTCCCTTCGTGGATTGCCTGCCCCTAGGTGCAGGGTCTTGCATTCCTTTGCATTGAAGTGGAGCTGCCATTTCTCTGACCATCCCTCAAGTTTCTATACATCTCTCTGCATGGTGATGTAGTCTTCCTCAGACGTAGCTTTGCCATACAGTTTGGTGTCATCTGCAAAGATTTTGACTGCTGCCTCAATCTCATCAGGAAGGTCTTTTATGTAGATGACAAATAGAAGTGGACCGAGCACGCTCCCTTGCGGTACTCCATGTGACTGGGGTCCAATCTGACATGTTGTGGTTCACAACCACTCTCTGCTCTAAGCTGCAAACAAGGCCACTACTTCCATTGACAATGCACAGCTCTTACGACTATATCTTTGGTTACCGGTACTTCCGAAACTTCCTGAAACTATACAGTGTTTATTAATTTTTCATGATTTTTCTTATACTTCTCCAATGATCTAAAAGGATAATACCATTTTCCAGCAAAGGAGTTATTTTGAAAATTCATGAAATGAACATGGATGAATCGGGTTAGGAGGAAGAATTACCCATTTCCCATTGAAGGCTTCTTCAAATTGGTGGATGGATGCCCAGAGTCGTCGAAAAACATTTGTAACTCAAATTGTAATTGTACCTCTTTACATTTTGAAAAAATGTGACCCAACCTGCTGTTTCAATCATTTTTCTATGCGGGCTCTGGAGCTCCGACGCCTTTGGCGTTTGGGCTCCCTGGAGTTATATAGAGGCATCCATGTCCATGACGCACCTTTCCCAGGGGTCAAGAGGTGCGTCTTACAAATTACAGCTGCATAACTTCACATGCATCTATCTGAAAGTGTATGAAAAGGTGTACCTAGTGTACTGAAACTTTTCACACAAAATAATCAGTTGGATCTTTGTCCAAAAACAAAGTGGCAGAGAGAGACCAACATAGGCTACACTAGTACACAGTACACTTGGCCAGGTTATATACAATATCTGATTTACAATTGTTTAGGTTAACTATTTCGTATTTTTTTACTTTAGTAAAGAGGCTTTCTAAGTTTCTACGTTAAAAACGATCCACTTTACTGCCTTACCACATAATTCTTGCCTATCTTGGTGTAATGTCTGTCGACATAACAACGGTTCTCTAACGTACCAGCTACCCGCAATCACGTACGCCGGAGCTTGTGGCGTACTTAACTTGTCCGGCCGCTAAACCGCAGGCCGCAAGCACCTTTTCCCTTTCATTTTGTCTTACCTGGATCAAATTTATCTCTGAAGATAAAAGCAATCAAGACAGCACCAATGGTAGCTACCAAGAGAACCTTTGAGAACGACATTATATAGATGCTGAACAGGCTTTGACAAGTAGAACTCAGTAGAAAAGCAGGTGAAGTTCAGATTGCGCTCACTCGGGCCAAAGAGATACTCAATGTTCTGGCTGAATTGAAGTGTCACTCGAGTTACTAGTGCGCGGCGGCGGCGTGCTTGTACGATTCTGTGATTGGACTTGGAGAGGGGCGCGTACGTTCCCATTTTTTGGCTGGCTACCAGTGCAGAGAGCTACTCTATTACCCCTAAGCGCAGAGGTGAATCGACCACCCGGCTCATTCTGTCTTCATGGGGTCCATGATCATTCAATTCAATAAAGGTTTATTCAAACATGTTTCGCTGTACAAACACTGATATACATGTTATATACAAAGATTAAATTACACTGTAATTACAAAATGAAATTGTGAATAAAACCAAATTACATAAAATACTTTACATTGATAAAATTGTAGGTAATGAATAGAAACATAGAAAAAAGCATTAACTTGATAAGGAATAGTGACGGAAATGTTTATAATTAATTTTGTATGCGGGACAGAAATATTCATCAAATCACGTATAGCCAGGGGCAGTCGCCAAAGGGGGATGTGGGGTGCGACACCCCTCCACCTGTCAGGATATTGTCGGTAAAATTGCGCTGCCGTCGGAAAAAAAGAGAGAAGTGGGAGGGAGAAAAAGAGAGGAAAGGGGAAAAAAAGAAAGAGAAAAAAAGAGGGGGAGAGGAAAGAAAGGAAAAGAAAAAAACAAAGAAAAGGAAAAAAGAAAAGGATAAAATGAGATATAATATATTGTCGGTCGGCCGACAAGCCTTTTCCCTACTTTTTATCAGCTGTGACAACTTCGAGAGTGACTACAACTACCAGGCGCGGATCCAGGATTTCTTAGGGAGGGGCCCAACTTTTTTTTTTTGCTCCCGGGGGGGGGGGGGGGGGGGGGGGGGGGGGGGGGGGGTAAGCGGACACTTTTTTTTTTTTGGAGTCCAAAAAAAAATCGCAACGACTGAGCCAGCCGAAAAGTCGCTCAGTGGGAGGGGGGGGGGGGGGGTAGTGAGCACATTTTTTTTTTTTTGGGGGGGGGTCCTCGAAAATTTTAAAATTTGCAACCCCCCCCCCCCCTTGAGCGCCAGGGGGGACCCAACCCCCCGAAAAGGGAAAAATCGCGTGATTTTGCATGATTTTTTTCTCAAGGGGGGGGGGGGGGCGGGGGCCCCGCCCCCCCCCCCCTGGATCCGCCACTGACAACTACAATACTTGTATTTTCTCGGAGTTTCACTTACTTATAATATCAGCTAAAGAAATCAGAGGTTTAAAATTTTCGGGGAAACGAAATTCAAACAAGGTTTAAGAACAACGGTACGACGAATCGTCTTCCTTTCTCTTTATTTATTGTGATGAAAAGCCAAAAATTCCGCGCTTTGCGCGGAAGTTGGAAAACTTCATTTAGACGAGTCGAATACGGTACAACGAAGCGTCTTCTTTCTCTAATATTTTAAGGAAACGTCAAAGCTTCCGCGCGAGAGGGAGAAACTGAATTCAGGTAAATAGGGCTTAATAAGAGTCAAAAACGGTACGACGAATCGTCTTCTTTTCTCTATATTGTGATGAAACGCCAAAACTTTATTTAGACGAGTCGAGAACGGTACAACGAATTCTCTAATAATTTAAGGAAACTTCAAAGCTTCCGCGCTTCGCGCGAGAGGGGGAGAATGAATTCAGACAAATAGGGCTTATTAAAGTCGAAAACGGTACAACGAATCGCCTTTTTTCTCTAATAATTTAAGGAAACGTCAAAGCTTCCGTGCTTCGCGCTAAAGGGGGAAACACCCACCCCCTTTTTAAGTGATTCGCTTGTTCACTACCGCCCCTCCCTAAATAAGATCCTAGCTCCGCGCCTGCATTAAAATATATAGCTATGATGCTGACTAAGTTGACGAAATAATTCGTATATTTATGTCGGCAAGGAAAATGACCAGTATAGATAGTCCATAGGAAAAAACAATTTAGCCTTCAGCACCGAGTTTATAGGTTAAATTTGTAGATATTGGACATTTAATTTTGTCGGTAATTGGTGGCTAGTTTTGTCGGTAATCGTTGGCCTCTACAACCCCCCCCCTCCCCCCCCCCCCCCCCACTGAAAAAGGTCTAGCGACGCCCCTGCGTATAGCGGACAACTTAGTATATCAAATCATTTATTCGCTTAGCCCAGAAAATCAATCAGACACAGAGGTCCAGATTGTGGAATTCTTTACCTAATGATATTTGAAATATAATCAAAATCCCTTTAAAAGAGCACTCAAATGCAGGCGCGCCGGAAGCAGTTTGGGATTGGGGGGCAAACATTCCAGGGGGCTTCACATTCCAGGGCAGGACGTAATGAGAAAAAAGTTCGGAAGGGGGGGGG